TATGTATGTATGTATGTATGTATGTATGTATGTATGTATGTATGTATGTATGTATGTATGTATGTATGTATGTATGTATGTATGTATGTATGTATGTATGTATGTATGTATGTATGTATGTATGTATGTATGTATGTATGTATGTATGTATGTATGTATGTATGTATGTATGTATGTATGTATGTATGTATGTATGTATGTATGTATGTATGTATGTATGTATGTATGTATGTATGTATGTATGTATGTATGTATGTATGTATGTATGTATGTATGTATGTATGTATGTATGTATGTATGTATGTATGTATGTATGTATGTATGTATGTATGTATGTATGTATGTATGTATGTATGTATGTATGTATGTATGTATGTATGTATGTATGTATGTATGTATGTATGTATGTATGTATGTATGTATGTATGTATGTATGTATGTATGTATGTATGTATGTATGTATGTATGTATGTATGTATGTATGTATGTATGTATGTATGTATGTATGTATGTATGTATGTATGTATGTATGTATGTATGTATGTATGTATGTATGTATGTATGTATGTATGTATGTATGTATGTATGTATGTATGTATGTATGTATGTATGTATGTATGTATGTATGTATGTATGTATGTATGTATGTATGTATGTATGTATGTATGTATGTATGTATGTATGTATGTATGTATGTATGTATGTATGTATGTATGTATGTATGTATGTATGTATGTATGTATGTATGTATGTATGTATGTATGTATGTATGTATGTATGTATGTATGTATGTATGTATGTATGTATGTATGTATGTATGTATGTATGTATGTATGTATGTATGTATGTATGTATGTATGTATGTATGTATGTATGTATGTATGTATGTATGTATGTATGTATGTATGTATGTATGTATGTATGTATGTATGTATGTATGTATGTATGTATGTATGTATGTATGTATGTATGTATGTATGTATGTATGTATGTATGTATGTATGTATGTATGTATGTATGTATGTATGTATGTATGTATGTATGTATGTATGTATGTATGTATGTATGTATGTATGTATGTATGTATGTATGTATGTATGTATGTATGTATGTATGTATGTATGTATGTATGTATGTATGTATGTATGTATGTATGTATGTATGTATGTATGTATGTATGTATGTATGTATGTATGTATGTATGTATGTATGTATGTATGTATGTATGTATGTATGTATGTATGTATGTATGTATGTATGTATGTATGTATGTATGTATGTATGTATGTATGTATGTATGTATTTTTTTTTACTAATTACTAAAATTTTTTTATTATATTTATTTTGACACTTATCTAATAGAATAAAAAAAAATCACATCAATAGTAGTTTTACATTTTATTCCAGAAACAAAACAATAATATTAAAAAAAGGTTGCAGTCATTGAAATAGCAGTGGTATCTGAAAATGGAAAAAAAAAAATTTTTTTTTAGAGTTAAACATTAAAAAAGTTAATTTTTTAACATTAAAAAGTTAAAAATAAGTATAATATAATATATTTACCTTTAGTATTTTGTTGCAAAACCTTTGTTTTGAATAACGGCTTCGCAACGCTGATACATTGAGTCAACAAGGTGTTGAGATTTTTCTTTGGGTATTGCATACCATGCTTGTTGAATAGCTATCCATAACTGCTGAGCATTAGTTGGATTGTCAGCAGAAACTGCTTTTTTAACGTCTCTCCATAAGCTTTCAATGGCGTTTAGGTTGGGTGACTGAGCAGGCCACTTCATAACCTCAACCCCATTGACCTGAAACCACTCATTTGCCTTATGACTAGTGTGTTTTGAGTCGTTATCTTGTTGGAAGACCCATTTTAGCGGCATGTCTTCAACAGCATAGAGCAGCATGGTATTATTGAGTATGTTGACATATATATGTTGGTCCATGATAACATTAATCTTATAAATAAGGCCTACACCATTATATGAGAAGCAGCCCCATACTATGACTTTGGCTCTTCCATGTTTTACAGACTTAATGGTATATTTTTTCTGAAATTCTGTATTAGCTGGACGTCTTACATATTGTCTTGAACCTGTACCTCCATAAAGAACGATTTTCGATTCATCGGTCCATAATATGTTGCGCCACTTTTTTATGGGCCAATTCAGATGTTGCTTTGAGAACTGCAAACGTTTGGCGGTATGTTTTTTTGTCAACAAAGGAACCTTTCGTGGACTGTGTGCATATAAACTGTTCTTGCCTACGAACAGTTGTGTCACTCACATGTAAATCAAGATCATCTTTGACTTGCTTTGTCGATGAAAATAGTTTACTTTTAACATACCTTACAATTCTTCGGTCTTCTTGTGCGGTAGTCTAACGATTTCCACTTCGTTTTTCAACTTTTGCTTTATAATTTAAGGCATTTGAAATCATCTTTGCTGAACATCCGATAACATTTTGTATATATGAGTAAGATTTACCCTCTCTATGATGCTTCAAAATAATGTTGCGTTTTGTTGGTGTACAATGACGTCCACGGCCCACTTTAAAAGGTTTAGAAAAAGTTGTTACCATACACAGCATACAGATAAATAAAGTATATATTATAATTGAAGTTATACTTACTTTTCCTGTAAAAATTACGAAAATTTTTTTAAGTTTTAAAACTAACTTTAAAACCAATACAACCACTGCTATTTTAATGCATTCTCACAATTACAATAATTTTATTAAAAATAACTGTATTCTTGGATGAATTGAATCCTCGTATGCTCAATTTACTTATCTCATTATTGTAAATACACACATAAAAAATTTGTTTTTCTATATTATACAGAAGAAGAGTAATAATGAAAGTACGAATAATTTTTTAGTACTGCTATTTTCATGCTTATAGTTGTATATATATATATATATATATATATATATATATATATATATATATATATATATATATATATATATATATATATATATGTATATATATATATATATGTATATATATGTATATATGTATATATATATATATATATATATATATATATATATATAAATATATATATATATATATATATATATATATATATATTATATATATATATATATATATATATATATATATATATATATATATATATGTGTGTTAGGGTGGCTTTTAAAAAAACTTTTTTGAGAAAAGCCTGCTCCCACCCACTCAATGTGTTCTATCTAATACAAAAACACTAGGTGTACATTTTTTTTGAATAAAATATATTTTAAAGGGTCATTTTTTTTGAATAAAATATATTTTAAAGACCCTTGAATATTTAATGGGTCCCTAATATTTTCAAAAAAAAAGTTTTTTAAAAATATGTCAACGTAGTACTCAAATGAAGCACAATTATATAAAAATTAAAAAAATAATATTCATCTTGAAAAATTTTCAACTTCTCAAAATTATCATAAAAAAATATAAAAATGCATTTTTTTAAATTTTTTGTTAAAAAATGCAGTTTTTTATGCAATAAAACCAAAAATAACATTTTTTTTCAAAATAAATATTATTTTTGAAATTTTTATGTAATTTTGCTTCATTTAAGTACCAGTTTGACATTTTTTTGTATTTTTGACGCATTAAATATTTGAGGGTCTTGGGTACCCCTTAAAATATTTTTTATTCAAAAAAAATTTAAACCTACAGTTTTTGTATTAAATAGAACACATTTTGGGGACGGGAGTAGATTATTTTCAAAAATTTAGTTTTTTGAGACACCCCAAGATATATATATATATATATATATATATATATATATATATATATATATATATATATATATATATATATATATATATATACATATATATATATGTGTGTGTGTATATATATATATATATATATATATATATATATATATATATATATATATATATATATATATATATATATATATATATATATATATATATATATATATATACATATATATATATATATATATATATATATATATACATATATATATGTGTGTGTATATATATATATATATATATATATATATATATATATATATATATATATATATATATATACATATATATATATATATATATATATATATACATATATATATATATATATATACATATATATGTATATATATATATATATATATATATATATATATATATATATATATATATATATATATTATATATATATATATATGTATATATATATTAAAGAATAATGTGTGTATCTATATTTTTGTATACGTATGTGTGCATCTATATGTAAAAATGTTTGTTTTTAGGTTGTTATTTTTTATACATGTAAAATTTTTTTTCCTGCTCAACAAGTTTTTGATATTTGATGTTGTAGTGGTTTTGTTTACTGTATTGGTTGTTGTTGTTATATTTTATTTTAAACCTATTTTTTTATTTGGTTAGCAACATTCGATCTTGGTATCTATGACGGCATTAAACTTTGTATGGTTTAGTTGTTTATTTAATTCATGTATATTTCTATATCTTATTGGCGTGAGTTTATTTATCTAATAAGTACCAATTTTAGAGACTTGTTGCATTTATAACAAAGTTTTATCTGTCAGCATTTATCAAATTGGTAGTGTAGTTAAGTATTTTGTGGATTTCTATTAGAATATAATAATTTTATAATATCATTTATATTTTATTCTGTTGTTTTTTGTCATTTTTGTTAAATCTTTTTTTTAATATTTTATTCTATATATTTATCTTATATATATATATGTATATATATATATATATATATATATATATATATATATATATATATATATATATATATATATATATATATATATTATATATATATATATATATATATATATATATATATATATACATATATATATATATATATTATATATTTATATAATTTTGTTAATAAATTTTATGTTTGTTTAATATTCTGTATATATTTATAATATTTAACTGATTTAACTTTTAATATTGTATAAATAAAATAAATTTTTTACTTAGTCAATAAAAAGTTATTAGTTACACACAATGCCATATATTCAAAATAATAGTTTTTGCAGTGAAATCAATTCAGAAAAAGAAAGTTTTTCTTTCTATCTTGAAGGGAAAAATGGCATCGATTATGTTGAAAAGATGTCAAAAGAAGAGATAAAGTTACTAGAGCAAATGGAGGATTATGTTTCAAAACGATATAAGTTAGATTTAGAATATGCAACAAAACTGGGTAAACTACATGAAAAGTTTACATTTGATAACAATGTTAATGGCAATTTAAAAGGAAGTTTAATCGAAAAGGTATGTTTAATATTTAATTTTATAATTTGTTTGACTATAATTTTATTTTTTGAAAAGTGAGGTAAAATAGTAAATAATAGAAATATAATAGATTTTTTTTAACCTTTTTTTTAATTTTGTTTAATATTTTTTTTGCATTTGAATATTCTTAAATGAACAGAATAATAGTATTTTAATCTAGAAGAAGTTTAAAAGCTAAACTGATATGCTTGATAAATCGATAAAAAGGGTGAAAAAGATTGTGAGCTTTTAAAGTTAAAATCTTTTGAAGTTAAATTTAATTATATTGTTTAAATTACAAATTTAATTTTTATAATGATATAAAGGCAGACCTTGTTTTAAATGGAAAGTGCTTAACTCATTAGCTTAATATGAATTTGACATCATAAAATTCACTTTAGTTTTTATTTTTTAAAGACAATAACTTTTTTAAACTACTGGAAAATAAGTTCAATTAGAAAATTAACTAAATTAACAAAAATAATGTAGAAATGCTATTGAAAATTAATAAAATTTAAAAAATGTTTATATAAACACTGGCCGTTGCGTAAGAGGCGTGCGGTCGCACGCCCTATATGACCACGCTGATAATACTTTCTTTTGACAACTTGGCCACGGCTCTTTGCAAGTTTTGACAACTAAAGCTTTTAAAAAATGCGCCAAAAAAAAAAAAAGCAAATGTAAATGCGATTTTTAATTTAATTGATTCCATAATTACAATTAAACTGCTACAAAATTTCCTGAGTACTTTATTGCAACGTAATAAAAGGCAATAATTGAAAAAAATATTCAGATTAGAGTTTTAGGCAAAAAGAGTACAGAAGCTATAAAAAAATAATTACAAACCATTTTATTATGGAAATGTAATTTCTAATAAAAAAAATATTTACAAAAAAAAAGAATTATAATTATCTTGAAACAATCGCATCTGTCAACTATTTTTCAACTATCCCAGAGCGCCACATAAAGTTTTTTTTTAATGAACGTTGACTTGCATATTTTTGTTTATTAACGATCGTTTAACTTAAGAGATTTATGTCAAATAAGGGATTTTTATTTTTAAATAATTTTTATTCTAGTTAATAAGTTATTAAATACATCAAAGATGCTTAGTAAATTTTAATTTTTATTTTTCAAAAACATTTTTTTTACACATTTGCAAAGTGTACGCAAATTAATAATAAATGCACATTAAAAAAAACTTTTTAAAGTGTTTTTAATATACAAACAAACATTACTTCACTTTAAGGAATATTAGAAAATTGAAAAAAATGCAAACTTTCAAAATGTTATTTATAATGAATTCATTTGCTTTAAACTTTCAATGTAATTGCTAATTACATAAAAGAAACCATGCTTAAACATTATGATTGTTTTCTTCAATAAAAGAAAGCCATCGAAATGTTTCAGCATGGTTTCTTTTGAAGTTTTTGCAAAAGCATTCATTTTAAGTAAAATTTTGCATGCTTTTGTAAGCGAATGCAAAAACCATGCCAAAACATGATTTCTTTCTTCTATAGCATACTTGATTATTTTACTTATATTAGCTTATTTATTTATGGGAGGAAAAGATACAAATTAATGGAGCTATGATAATTTTTTATTTTTTTTACTTTCGCTTATAATTAAGTTTACATTAATTAAATGATTTGATTTTTTTCCTGGTTTTTCCTATATTTATTTAATCTTCAAAATTTTAATTTTTTTAAGTTAATTTTTGTATTGTATATATTTTTAAGATTTTTATTCTTTTTCAGTTTTCCAATTCAGTTTTTGGATTGTTTATTTTAATTTAATTTTGTTTTGTTTTTTAGCGCATTTTTTAAACGCGCTAATTATCAAAACTTGCAAAGAGCTGTGGTCAAGTTTTTAAAACAAAGAACTGTGGTCATATATTCTTACGCAAAGGCCTGTAAACAAGTTTTTTTCTTAACATTTGTATAAATGAATTAAAATTTTCTTATTGTATTATTTTTTAAATTTTGTGGCTTTAAACTCAAAATGATTTTTTTTATTAAATTGTTTTCTTAGCAATTTTGTTGTAAAAGCAAAAATTATTTTAGGTTTTCAAGTACCATTTATAAAATTATATAGATCATTGCGCTTTTTCAATAGAGTTTTCAATTGCTGAATTCCAAAATTGCTCCAGCTTTAATATCTCTATTTTTCCTGAGGCCAGGTGAATAAAAATGAGCAGTTGCTTTTATTTAGTAATTGGTCAGCTATACATGAATAAAAAAACAGGAATTTTGCTAATGTTATATTCACGTAAAGCTGAGTTGTTACTGAGTAAAAGCAATTGCTCATTTTTATTCACCCGGCCTCTGGTCTCTGGTTTCCAAAAGCTCTGAACATGTTAATTGACTTTTAGTTGAAGAACATGTTAGTTGACTGTTAGTTGACTAAACATGTTAGCTGATCTGCTATATAAAAAAAAAAAAACTCATGAAGTTTTATGACTTAAAGCATATTATTTTTAAGCCCGAGGTGTCCTGGAATCCTTTCCACCATTATAACTAAGGACCCCGGGTTCAAAAAGTGATTGTTACTCTAACTTAAAAGTCTTAACTTTTATACCAGTAGTAGTCCATAGTTGTTTTTTATATTATTAATGCTCCTGAATAACAAAAACTAGAACAAAATTATCTTTTGGCGACATTCAAATCCGGTTCTTTTTGGGACTTCATATCTCTGGCCCTTTCTTTTATGAATAAAATTTTAGCATATGTTAACTGCAAAAGCCTCGGAACACGTTTACAAGAAATTTAACTTTTAGTTGAAAAAATAAAAAATGTTTAGGAATAAAAACCAAAAAAATAATTGCAATAAAAATAAGCTAAATTTTTTTTAAGAATAAATGAAATTTAAATATTGAACAAAATTTATTAATATTTTTAAATAAATTTGAAGGTAAAGGGTCAAGTATCATAAATACAACATGGTTTGGTTTTTTTGACATATGTTTTATTGCTTATCACTTTAAATAGTTCATTAGAATACTTAATGTTTGGCATTTTTTAAAGTATAACTTCAGCTTAAATTTGGCCACAAGATTTCCTGATACAATTGCTACTTTTTAAACAAACCCTACTTGAAATTGATTTATCTGTAACATGAATGTGAAGTAGCACTTGATAATATTAAGGTAAAAATGTAAAGAGCACATAAACAGAAAGTTTCGAAATTTAAAATTGTTTTTACTTAATTATTTGAAATTTTGATAACTTATATTCTTTACGTTTTAACATTAACTGTTCCCCTTAACGTAGTCAAACTTTATGCGATATTTGTAGAACTGATTAAGCTTTTAACACTGTAAAAATACAAAATTTATATTTGTAGCATTTATTTGTTAACAGCATTTTTTGTGCTCTAGGGAAAAAATGATAGATTTAGACTAAAAACTTTTATTTATAAAAAACAAAATAACCTTGAAAAAATTTTGTGAATTCACAATTACTCTTGATTTGTTTGGAAATATTATTGTTAATTTTATATTTATTTTAATAAAAATAAGATTACTAATAATATTTCCAAATGACTGGGGCCCGGCCCTGGCTAAAAATAAGACTTTTTGCAAACCTGGCCAAGGTAAAATTATAACATTTAGCAGAGGTTGATAGCCCAGGGTAGAAAAAAATTTATAATACTTAATGTATTATAAATTTATGCTTACATTTACTATTTATTAAATACTGGCATACATTTATATATTTTTAAACTCTAATTTACTTCCAACAAGATTGCAAGCAACCATTATTAAGTTATAAGTTACTTTAAAATAGAGATAAGTTACAATATGAGATAACGTATAAATGAAAATTTGAAAAGTTGTAGGTTGTATATAAAAAAAAACATGAAGATAGTTCTAAGGTTATAATAGTTATAAGGTTTTTTGATGTGCAACTAATAATAATAATAATAACAACTAATAATAATAATAACAACTAATAGTTATAAGGTTTTTTGATGTGCAAGGAAAAAAACTGGATTAATTAAAGTTTTTATAGCACAAAGGGACAGATACAATAAAAGGATGCAACTTGTTGAATAAATAGCCAAGCAAGAATGAGTTTTGGTTTATCTTTATAGAGATGATAGCTCGTTTGAGAAATGACCATGATTGTATTTGTAGAAAAAAGAAAGAAATGCAACCTTACAATAATGGGAGAGTGGCTCAAGCTTGGCAGATAAAGCAGATCTAATTACATTTACAATGTGCTTTTAGATTTGTCTGAGAGTATTAGGGTTGTTATTTGTCAATATAGAAATGTCAACAATATTGCAATTTTTTTTTGCAGTAAATAAATGAGTTTTGTTGTCTAACAAAAATTGCAGATTTTAAGTTCAGAATTAAAATCTTTAAGCCACTGCAAGTCTTTGGCTGTTACAGAAAAAGATCAAATTTAAATTCAGTTGCTTGTTTTAAATAATTAAAAAGTGAAGATTTTTTGTCAATACAAGAGTATAAAGTTGAGTCATCAGCAAATCGAGCCACTTTAGATTTCATGAAGATCGTTATTGTAGATAAGAAATAATACAGGATCAAAGATAGAACCTTGTGGTACCCTCAAAATTGCTTGAAATAAAGAAGAGGGTAGGCCTTCGAGAATAACTTCACTACTGCAGTTATAAAGAAGTAATTTAATAGCCTCAAAATCTTTATATAAAGAAACTAATAAAACTAATAAACTAACAGAGTTATGCGAATCGTAGTATAGTTTTGGAGAACACTTTTTTAAAACTATGGTGGAAATCTTGTCTGGAGCACAAACTGTAGAAGTGTTTAATTAAGAACTAATTTTGTTATTGGAAGCCAGAGTGATTTTGATGTTTAACAATGGGTTAATCTGTTCAACTGTCAGGAAAAGTATGGCCATTGTATTCAAGAGTAAAATTAAAGTAAGATTTCTTTGCAAATAACTCTGCTTTATGCCGGGGAGAAATAAACAGATCAGACCCATGAATTAGAGATTAAATGTTAGACTTACTTTAGTTAA